AGATATCCTAAAAAGGAGCCAATCTATTAGACAATAATACATAACATTTTTAGATACAGCTCTGATTTGTCTCAGAAGTAAATGGCAATTGCTACAACCGCTATCAGATTCCAGATTCTACTTCCATTGGCAACATTATTTTCCCAAGTCCCCTGTGCTCCAACTCCCTTCTGAGACACTCCACTGCTCCTTGGCAGGCCCCCACCTGCCCCACAGGAAACCCCACAATTCACCCAATTAGGCAGCTGGATGTCCTGACTGCAGGTGGCTAATTGTGAAAAGGATTTTTGTTAAGGACCCGTCTTCCTACATCAGCACTATAACCCACTTCAGAAAACACACCATACCATTTCTGGTTAACCTTAAAACAATCACGTGAAAATAAAGAGGACTGTCAGTAGAGCAATTTTATAAATAGCTAAAATTAAACAGAGCAAGACTGGCAGTGCTAATGCATAAGCAAAGAACTGACTTCCTGCATTTCATTGAGAATTCCTGATAGCAAACTGCAGTATGTTTATTATACATTAATTCAACACAGCATTCAAAATGAATTTATGCCCTGGCTGAAGGGTGCGATATTGAAACTAAATATTATTTATTATCTTAATATTAGTAACCAACTAAAAAAAAATGTGTTAACAATTCAGAGTGTTTAAAAAGCTAAGGATACCATAGCTCTACTTACCAACCAACAGCTCTTGCCTTAATTTATGCAAGTGTAGCCCTATAGCTAAAAGCTTTGTATATTTGTTTCCCCATGGTATTAGTGCTCAAAAATAGGACACTCTTTCAAGGGCACCTTATAAACACAGAACTATAATTTATTTGGCAAATTAAAGCTCATATAAAACGTGCACACAGAGGTACAGATTAACATATTTAATTTCAATATTACCTGCAAACCTATTTTTTCCCATACACTGTTCTAATTAGTCATATAAAATCGAGTCTGTGTATTATAAGCAATTATTTTAGTGGAAATAGAACTGGATCTGAATTAAATATACTGTAAAAAGATAACACTTTTATGGAAATTAATATATCCATTTGTATCTAGAAAAATGTGTTCTAGTTAAATGGCAAGAGAATGTTGAGCATTCCAAACCTGATTGCGATAAAAGTTGAGTTTTTTTATGATTTAATAATACAGAATAATATGCAATCTTGGCATTATACCAATATTTATATTTTGATGATATTTCCAAGTTTCCAAATCCCCAGTAACCATTAGATTCATTTTTGTAGTGGAATTTTTCCTATTAGCAATATTAACTCCCCCTACAGTTGAACATGCAAATTGTTTGCGAACATTTTATTTAGTAATCGAGTCTTTTCCTATTTAAGCCTGTCCTGGGAACTACAGTGTTGTAGGTACCAAGCTTCCATTGCATTAACATAGTTGAAAATAGATGTTAATAAGGAATTATGCCTGCAGGTAAATGGAAGCTATAACTTTAGTGGCAGAGGCGTTAAGCTTTCTAAAAGTTGTCATAAACGGACATAAAGGCTTCACCACATAAGGAGATTTTTGAAAAGGACAAATTAAATTGAAGACACCTTGACCTAACACCGGGCATGTGAGTGGAGATGATCTAATGCTCCAGACTATCAGCAGCTCAGATAACCTCCCCAGAGAAAACTTCCCCAAACACCTGATCTCAGAGGGCTCTCCTGCCCTAGCCACACCCATTACTTACCTCCCCATCTGGTGTGTTACTTTCATAGGACAAATCAAAGTTGTTCATTTCCTTGTTTACTATTTGTTTTCCCCATTAAAAGAGACTCTGTAAGGATAAAGGCTAATCAAGCATTTAGTGCTTCTCCTGGCACAAAGAGGAGCTTGATTACCATTTTTTGAATGAATGAATGAATAAGTGAATGAATGAATGAACAAATGAGTGAGCTAATGAGATATTTCTTTAAAATATTTCTGTAAGATTATCTAGTATTTGACTGTCAAGTAATCTCATAGTTCTTAAAAGGTCTTTAAACTATTCCCTTTGATTCAGGATTAGCTGCCCATTGTATTCACAAAAACAGGGGCTAGAATTGTGTCCTTCCCCCTTTGAGTACCTTCCCAAGCAGATGAGAATCTGCCTTGCAAATTTGCAAATTACAATGCATCTTGTGTGAGGAGAACCCACAGAACTCCCTGAATGATACATGATTGTTTTTCAGCTACCCATCCTGGCCCCAAGTAACTCTTCCTGCAAAATGCCAAGTCCCTCTCCTGTCTCTCTATGCTAACTAAGTCTCATCACTCTCACCTCATGAATGGTTTCCTGGTTAGGGGCAGTTAAAACTAAGAAGTCCAACTAGCAAAGCACCCTAAGATTCACCATAGTTAACTAATTTTGAACATTGTCACCCTTTGGTCTGCCCAGCTTCTAAAGACTTTCAGAAAAGGCAAGCCCACAACATTTATTATCATGTGTTATAATGTCAAAACATTCTTCCTCTGATATCCCTCAATCCTTAGTAGAGGCTTTTCTTTTTCTTTTTGGATTTTCATTGTAGACGGACTATAGCTTGTCACCACTCGTTAACCATGCCCTGTTCTAACATTACAGCAAAGGACAAACAGGTCCGGCCACCTGGTCTCTTCTGTAGCATTCATTATTTTACATGCCTAGTTCCATTCTTCTTTCCAACTTAAAAAAAGGCTTCTGCAACTCTCAGTCTGGGTATCACACCGCCAGCCATACCATACCTGGTTTCTATTATTCCTCTCTAGCTTTTATGAGGTTTTTATCTTTTTTTAAAATAAAATGACTGAAAAATTAAATATTACTCACAATCCCACCTTATTTTGGTCTCAGTCATTGTACCTCAAGAGGCTGTTTTGCAATTCTGCCATTCATTCATCCTGCTTTCTCCCCTGTATTTAATACACATTTTAAGCAGAAACTTCCATTACCCTGTCCTTGAAGCCCTTCATTATTCACTTCTTTCCAGCTAAAAGATTTTAATTCATTGTTTTACAGTCTTTTTCTTCTTAGCATTTTGAATGGCTTCCCACTGTTCATGAGTTCAAAATCCTCACGTGGCCCCTTACGCAATCTGGCTCCTACCTTCCCTTCAACTGCATTTTACATCACCCTCCCATGGCACACCATGTTCTTGCCCCACTTGCCCGTGCTCTGTTCAGTGTGCACCCGCCCCTGGCTGCCCCAGGTTGCCTGCTCAGACAATTGCTCTGTCTTAGTTGGCTGACTCCTTCCTACTTCTCCTTCAGGTCTCCTTGAAAGCACCACTTTCTGGGGCATCTGGGTGGCTAGTCAGTTGAGTGTTCGACTCAGGTCATGATCCCAGGGTGGTGGGATCAAGCTCTCACTTTGGGCTTGACAATGAGCTCCTGCTTAGGATTCTCTCTCTCTCTCTCTCTCCCTCTGTCCCCCTCCCCCACTGGCACTTGTGCTCTCTGAATGAATGAATGAATGAATGAATGAATGAATTAGTGCCACTTTCTGTGGGAGGCTCACCCTGAGCTGACCGTCTTCCACCAGAGCCCCATGAGGTTTTCCTTCATAGAACTTTCTCATTATTGCAATTACATCTTTAGCTCATTAAGTATGTGTTTAAAGCCTGAAGCATGAAGACAGCCTGGTCCCTGGTCCTCTTGTCTCTCTCCAGCCTCACAACTTTGGCAGTCTCATCCACCTCAGGGTTTTAAACACCATCACCATACTGACAATTCCCAAAACCAGATGCAGGCATACATCCACTCCAGAGTCCTTTCCCAAACTCCGGACTCTGGAATCTAATTTCTTACTTGGCAGTTGGCCTACATATACTTAAAGACAGTATCAAACTTCACACATCTACCTCTGAATTCCAGCCTTCTGTCGAAAACCTGTTCTACCTGCAGCCTTCCCCCATACCCATTGATGGCAACTCCACCCTTCCAGGCGCTCAGGTCAGAGAACCTTGGAGTCCTTCTTCACATGCCGTTCTCTTTTACCTTCATCCAATCTCAGGAAATCCTGTCAGCTATTCCTTCAAAATATGTTCAAATTGTATCCATTTCTCACTACTTCCCCTGGACCTTCCTGGGTCTGAGCCACCTCACCACTCTCCTGAATTAGTGTGTGAGCCTCCTGGCTGGTCTGCCTGAGAACCTTGTCATCCACACTCTGTTTCAACACAACAGCCGCGTGGAACTTCTAAAATTCACGTGAGATTGTGTCACTCTGTTGCTCAAACTCTTGCAATAGCTCCCTATTTCCCTTTAAGGAAGAACCAAAGACATTACAGTGGTCTGTATTGCCTGTCTGACTTCATTTCTTCGTTACTCTGCTTCAACCAAATGAGCCATTTTGCATTTCCTCAGAGGGACAGGCACATTCCTCCTAAGGATCTCACACTGACTGGGCTCTCATCTGGGAATGCCCTTCACCCAGATATCCCCATGGATAAGCCCTCACCTCCTTCCAAATTTATTTTTCTTCTTCTATACTAATTATCACCCTCTAACATCCTATTTAATCTACTTGTTTTTTTACATCTGTTATTTTTTATCAACAAGAGTATCAAACAAGGGTTTTGCTTCTGAAGTCACGGGCTTTGTTGACTGATACATCGCAAGCAGCTGAAACACAGTAGGTTCTCAACTGTTTGTGAGATGAATAGAGAGGAACTTCCTATACAAACTGGACTTACACATGTTTCAAGGATAAGAGAAACAGTGTGTGAGAGAGTGCTTTGTGGGCCCAGTCCTCTTCGATGAAGACCTCAATCTTTATTCCTTCTACAGAAGTCTGCACCGTTGTCAATGGTATGTTTTTTCCCACATAATCTATTTACATATACCTATAACAAATACACTATTGTTTCCTGTGAGTTTTTAAATAATGAACAGCATCATACAACTGAAAAACAAAAACCGTTTGCAACAAGTAAGGTTCTAAGTGTGTGTGAGATTATTGTTACTTGGGGGTGGGGAATAAGGGACTCTCAAAACAAGTGATGAAATACAGATTTTTGCAGTAACCCTGTACCTTAACTCCAGCATGACCCTTGAATATCCCTCTTCTGAAAATGGAGTGCCCTATGAAAATAGAAATAAATGCAATTTCCTTAAGGTTAAGGCAAAGATTGAGGAAAATAAAATTCACTTTTCTAAGAGATGGTCTATTTGGTTTGTTATTCTCTGTGTGTTCTAAAGGATTCTGGTGGGATTTATATTCAATTTCTGAAAAAAGTGCCGAGAGTTCTGGACTTAAACACATCACAAAGGATATTTTCTCAGTCTTCCAAACATTTGATGCTTAAGTCTACTTCTAATTCCTGACCTCAAAGTTGATGTAACTTATAATTTACATAATATAAATTATATACAATATATATAATTATAATCTAGCATTTACTTGTTTCCGGAACATTTGACTATTTTTAGACTAACTTACTGCATTATTCATCTTTATTATCCACATATAATAATCAGATAACACTACCTTCAATGGTCTCTTGAATGAAAACCATTAATTGGTTCCTTTGAACTGCTTTTCCCCTACTGAAAGCTAGTTATTTACCTTAAAAGTAGATTATGCCACTTTCTCTTTTAAAGACCTTCTCCCATTATTAGTTTTTGTAACTTTGCCAATTTTTGTATAATTTTTGCGGTCTCCGTCAATATTTTTAAATTAATTATGATTTCTAAACAAGTTAAAATAGGCCTAGAATAGGTTCGTTGTCGTTTAACCCAATAAGTCTAGCAAGTAAAATTGAAAGCCGGAGTCAATGAAGCCACGTCGGGGTATCATTGCCAATTTAGCTATCAAAAGTAATCCATGATGATAGAGTTTATTACAAAGTACATTTAACACATTAATTATTAATCTACAGTGCAAAGCTTTTAACAAAAGTCTGTCCTTGATTGCTTTGTTTTCCCAAGTAGTTAGAGTCTACAGTTTTGTAATCTAAGACTAGTATTTGGCGCCTTGATCAAATTCCCAAAGTTCTGTAATGTCTCTTTTTATTGCCAGTAAATCCAGATGGAAGTGGCTTTTAGTGTTGTGATTGAGTGTGCGTTTATTAATGTTATCTATTAAGCACACACTGCACATTGCCCATGTAAGAACTTTCGGAATCATACTTGATAAATGTATTAAGCAAGTCCAAAAGGTTTCAGAACAAAATGAAGACTTTAGTATGTAAATTAAAACACTTTGTTGGCACTTAAAAAGCATCTTGGACATAAAGTTCTGACTCATTAATTATATATTAGAGCAAAGCCTCTCATCAATAAAGTTTTTTAAACTATAGGCACAAGTTCCCAAAATGGACTTTAGCTGAAATTCAAGGAGAAGGAGAGAAAGGAAGCCAATCAGAAAAATAGTAGCTCCTCACAGGGGAGGAAGGTTGGGAGATCAGGGGACAGATGTAAACTGAGCTGTGGGCATCATCTACTATTTTGGAACATTTCTGCGTGAAAAGACTAACAGAATTGATAGCGTCAACTCCCACAGAATTGTCAAAAAAATAACTTTTGCAGAGGCAGGTATATATTCTCCAACTGTTGATCCTTCCATTAAAGACCCAGAAAAAGTCTCCCTGTTCACACTTCCAAAACTTAACAGAGATTTTTTTAAAAAAGGAAATCATCAGTAGATGGAGTATTTAAAATGTTTTACATCCTCCAACCTTTCCTAATATTCTTTCCTTGAATAATTTTCCTTTAAAAATCAAGTTGTTGGGGCGCCTGGGTGGCTCAGTCAGGTAAGCATCTGACTCTTGATTTTGGCTCAGGTCATGATCTCATAGTCGTGAGATGGAGCCCCACATCTCTCTCTCTCCCTCTCTCCCTGTCTCTCTCTCTCTCTCTCTCTCTGCCTCTCTTTCTCTCAAAAATAAAAATAAAATTAAAATCGAGTTGTTCACTTAAAAAAACTAAAAAAAGATACAGGCCATTATTGTTGCTGAGGTCCCAGAACAGAGGCCCGAGATGTGCACTTGTTGCAAAATCAAACTCATCTGGGGCTCTGTCTGATAGGCAGTGGGACTGGAGATCACCTTCCTCACCCCTTCATCCCCCAGCATGTAGATGAGCTCAGGGGAGAACAGGACAGTGTAGATGGAAGGTCAAGGAGGCACAGGGGTCAAGCTAAGTTCCAGCCTTAGGACAGGGGCTAGAAAAGAGTGTGGCTTTAGAACAACACAGTGAAGAGCAACAGGATGGTCCTCAACCTGCACCCCATCCTTTCCCCCTGGGTCAAAGCCAAAATCACAGATAGAAGAATCTTGTATGTGAAAAGCAATATAGAACAAAGCCCTGTATTACTCAGGTCTCTGTAAGCATACAGCACACATACCAAATGTGCTTGGTGGCCTAACACCAGGGCTGACACAGGTGAGAAGAAGGTATGCCTCCACGCTGACAGGGGCCAAGGATCCCCAGCTGGGAGCAGTAGGAGATCATGTCATAACACTGGAGTGCAGGAGATGCTCTTTCTTTACCTCTACCCCCGCCCAAAGGCTTCCTGCAGTAATCAGAAAGGATTTGGGTCAGGAGGTAGAGATTAAACCAAAATTTACTTTTTGACTCCTCTTGGGACCCTATCACACAGACTTGACTGTGACACCATCTCTCCTTCCCCTCTGGAACCTGTCACAGCCTTGAACACCACCTAAGTGAGTGTTCAAATCGAAATGTGGAGTCCAAACAGAATCCCCATAGTTGAACCAACTAGCTCCCTCCAGAAATTCCGTGCTCAGACAGTGAGAAAAAGGCAGGTGAATGCACTTCTTACCTGCCTCTGTGAAGCACTGCTGAGCTTGGCACCTACAGCAAGTCATTTGCTTACAGTACACTTATAGTAAAAGGTTGGGGTGACCAGTTGTTACATCTCTCCCCATCCTCTGCTTCTCAGTGTTTGAGTCTTTGCTACTAATTGACAGTTTCTAGGTGAGGGATCATTCATGTAAAAGAGTAAAGATTTGTTACTTTACTTGCACTTTGTCAGCAGGACTCACTGCCAAAGTTTTAGGTCAGAAGAGCTCTGGGCAGCTGGAGGTGACCGCTCCAGCCATCCCAGGAGTACAACTGGGGCCTCTTTTTTTTTTTATTATTGTAAAAGAGCACAGGATATGACAGTTGAACCAGTGCGTCACCACAAAGTGCAAGTGGAGTGACAGACAGAGTGACAGACAAATTAAAGAGTAAGTTCTGTCTAGCAATTTTGGGTGACAGCACTTAAAATTTTTAGCTCTAGGATTGTTTAGGAATGACAGTATGCAGCTGAGAAAGGCAGCCTACCCACTATAAAAAGGAATTTGTGTGCGAACTTAGAAAACGCAGCCCTCCAAACTGAAGAAAAAAAAAGTCTTTACGTATGTTTTTAAATAGTAACCCATTAACCTTTTACACAGTCTTCAAATCATCTAAGGCCACGTGTCCTCATTAGCCCAATGTTTGGATCAAGGCTTTCAGGCAGATTTTGTTTCACCACCCCTGTAGAAACCCCTAGAAAACGGATTTCGCATACATGCGTTGTTGTCATTGTTCTGACCAATGAATGGACTGTGCTATCACAAACATCAGCTTCTGACCAGAAAAAGGCATCATGGTAAAACGTCTTCTTGGTAAGGCGTTCACTGCATGAGATGACAAATCACACCAAAATTTGCAATGATCTCCTTGGGAGTAGTACTAAATAGGGATAAGTACTCGTCACTCACTGAGTACTTACCATCCACGGGAAAACTGTGCTAAGTACTTTGTACTCATCCATCTCTGACATATCTAATGGACACTTAAGAAGTGTATGTTGGCGAGGGGTGCCTGGGTGGCTCAGTTGGTTGAGCATCTGATTTCGGCTCAGGTCATGATCTCACTGTTTGTGGGTTCCAGCCCCACGTCAGGCTCTTTGCTGACACCTCGGAGCCTGGAAGCCTGCTTCAGATTCTGTGTCTCCCTCTCTCTCTGCCCCTCCCCCACTCACACTCTGTCTCTTTCTCTCTCAAAGATAAATAAACATTAAAAAAAAATTTAAGAAGTGTGTGTTGGTGTGTTGGCAGGAACGAGGAAAGGAAGAGAGTTTTGGTGTAATTTAAAACTTTTACTGAGCATTTACTCTTTTGTCAGTCATTTTAAGAACCCGAAAAGCAAGCTGTTAAGCAGACAGCATTATTCCTTTTTTCCACTGGAATTTATTGAAGCAGGTCCCACACCCAGCCAGAAACATGCCTAAATTGCCTTTTGAATATTTGCACTTGTGGCCTTCAATCACAGGTAACCTGGCTGCCGACAACTAAGACTAATAGCTCAGAAGTTAAAGGAAATGACCCCGACTTTTCCTCACTTCACAGAAACTCTGAAATGGCTCCAGATACCATGAGCTCCTTACTTCTCCTTTGCTTTGTTCACTCTGAGGATTTCAAGGCAAGCAGCACCCACCCCACCCCCCAGGTGTGAACAACAGGAGATTACTCATAGATGGTATAAAAAGAAGGTGAGTGCAAAGGTCCAGGCCGGGCCTCAGTTGTCATCTAAACAGACATATCAGCTACAAAGCTTGTCCAAACATTCATCACAAACAGGTTTCAGAATGCTTTATATGGATCGGAGCCAGGTTTTTACCTTGTCGGTATCCCAGAAAGATGACCTATCTCAGTGCAATGAACTTTCAAATAACAATAAAAATTATTTGATTAGAAGAAAGAACAGGGCGGGAGGGGGAGCCTCCTGTGACTCACACAGCCTGAGGAAGGCGGGAAGAGCTGGCCCCCTACAGAATCCATACCACACTGCAGATTGAATTCAACAAGCTATTCAGGATGATGTTGTGACTAAGCATGAAATTGAAATTACACCATCTCCTGGGTCAGCGTGTTGTAAACACTTTTTCCTTCATTATTTCAGAATTTTTTTTTTAATACTGGTGCTTTGTTAGAGCTCACAAAATAACTAGTTTGTAAACTACAAGAAGAAATGTATGTCTTCTTATTTCCATTGTGTTGGAAGGACTTGGTAAGGAATGTTATTGTTAACTATCACTTACCATGTTGTCACTATTTCTATTAATTATTATTACCAACCTAAAGCTCGTCCTCCACAACCACACACTTTGCACCTGCAAAACAATATAGACAAACAGCCATTCAAATATAATTTGTGTTTCTTCCTTTGTTGCCAACCCAGTCTGATTCCAAATGGTTTCTTTTTTTTTTAATATGAAATTTATTGTCAAATTGGTTTCCATATAGCACCCAGTGATCATCCCAACAGGTGCCCTCCTCAGTGCCCATCACCCACTTTCCCCTCCCTCTCCCCGCCCATCAACCCTCAGTTTATTCTCAATTTTTAAGAGTCTCTTATGGTTTGCCTCCCTCCCTCTCTAACTTTTTTCCCCTTGCCCTCCCCCATGGTCTTCTGTTAAGTTTCTCAGGATCCACATAAGAGTGAAAACATATGGTATCTGCCTTTCTCTGTATGACTTATTTCACTTAGCATAACACTCTCCAGTTCCATCCATGTTGCTACAAAAGGCCAGATTTCATTCTTTCTCATTGCCAAGTAGTATTCCACTGTATATATAAACCACAACTTCTTTATCCATTAATCAGTTGATGGACATTTAGGCTCTTTCCATAATTTGGCTATTGTTGAAAGTGCTGCTATAAACACTAGGGTACAAGTGCCCCTATGCATCAGCACTCCTGTAGCCCTTGGGTAAATTCCAACTGGTTTCTATTCACCTCCTGACTCATAGCCCAGACTTTCATTTGCTGCTGATTCCTATCCTTTCAGGCTTGATATTAAAGGGGGGGGGGGGGCGGGTGAAACATAATTTTCTTAAAAAATGCATTTAAAAAGTATTTAATACTTATTCAAAGGTTAATTTTAAAACCCTGTGAAAATTATGGCTAGAAATAAACTTTCTTAACCTGAGTAATGACATCATTGTAAAGCTAGAGCAATCATAATATTTAATGATAAAATTATAGAATAACTCCCATTTAAATCACAAACAAAACAAGATGCCCACCATCCTATTATCACTGCTTCTATACAATATTATCATGGGTGTTTTACAATAATAAGGTAAGAAGGTAAAATAAAATGTATAAAAATTAGGAAAGATAAAACTGCTGTTTCCATCCAACATGACTATCTATAGAGTATATTCAAAATTATCTACAAACTTTTTAAACCAGTAACAGAGTTCAGCAAAGTGATCAGACAGATAAAAGTAATTTAACCAGCTAACACATATTATATTCTTATTGTGGGCCAAACACAGTTCTAGGTACTTTCCATATATTATTAACTAATCCATTAACTAATCTAATACAACAGCCCTCTGACAATAATACAATTACTATTTCCAAATAAAACTGATGTACAGAAAGATTAAGGAACTTACTGTTAGAGGTTGAATTGTGTTCCCCAGAAGACACGGTGAAGCCCTAACCCCTGGTACTTGTGAATATGACCCTATTGAAAATCAGATCTTTGCAGATGTAATCGATTTAAGATGATACCGTTAGGGTGGGTTCTAATCCAACATGATTGATGCCCTTTTAAGAATAGGGAATTGGGGCACAGACACGCACAGGGAGATCATTATGTGACTACAAAGTCAGAGAGTGGAGGCATGCAGTTGCAAACCAAGGAATGCCAAAGATGATTCGCAACCATCAGAAGCTAGGAAGAGGAAAGGAAGGAGTCCCCTGCAGTTTTCAGGGGGAACGTGACCCTGCCAACAGTTTGATTTCAGACTTTTAGCCTCCAGAACTGTGAGATAATAAATTTCTGTTGTTCTGAGCCACACAGATTGTGGTACTTTGTTAGGGCTGCCCTACCAACCTAATAAACTTGCCAAGAATCACACAACTAGTAAAATGACAAAGCTGGGACATAAGATCAGCATACCAAAATCAATACACTCAACACCAGTAAAAACAAGCTAGAAAATGTAATGTAAAAACAGATACTATTTACAATTACATAAAATACAAGATGCCTTAAAATAAATATAATAAAAAATGTTTAGGCTACAGTCGATTCTCATTATTCGTGGTAATTATGTTCTATAAAGTTGCCACATACACTAAAGTAGCAAATACTGAACCATTGCTCCTAGGGGAAATACAGGGAAGGGTTCCTGCAAGTTTCTGGTCACATTTTCACTGACTGATCAATATATAACTTTGTTTCATGTGTGTTTCTGTTTTAAAAGACCTTGGTTACTATATATTGTTGATTCATTAACACTAAACTCACAGCCAACAGCACTATAACTCATCCCTGAACAAAGCTTACATAACACATGTATTTTCTCTGAAAGGCACATCCCAGCCTTCTTGCCCTTAGGAGCACTAGATAACACTTCAGCACTGTGCTTGAGGGGGATTTTAAACAGTTAAATCACTGGAAAAGGGCAGAACAATATGAAAAATATGGCACTAAATAAACTGCAGGAAAGGACACTCATGTTTACAATACGAGAACTAAAACAAGAAAACAAAACATTGCTTTGCTGGAACTCGGCTGGGAACATGGGTGTATGTTAGTCAACTCAAATTTTTTGCTACTCTGCACGTGTTTGCCAATGACCGTGAATGCACGGTGAGTATAGATGTGGAAGATCACAAATAAATTTTAGGAAGTAGACAAATTCACAAATATGAAATCCACAAATAATGAGGACCAACTGTATTTATGGATAAAATTATAAAACCTTATAAAGGGACCAAAGGAAAAAAAAAAAAGACCTAAGTAAATGGAGATAGAATATGGTCATGAATAGGGAGACTCAGAATTATAAAGATATTAATTTTACTACAAATTAATTCCATCAAAATCCCAAGGAGTATTTTTAAAGAACATGACAAGCTGATCCTAAAATTCAAAGAGAAAAGGAAAGAACCAAGAATCACTAACATAATTTTGAAAACTAAGGTGTAGAGACTTATTCTATAATATATTAGAATAGTTATATTAATTAAGATATACAGGTCTAGACAGATAGAACAGGAGAGCAGAAAAAAGAGACCAGAACCAACAAACACTTACATAGAAATGTTGTTTGTGTCTGAGATGGTATTACAAATCAATAAATAAGGATTAATTATTCAGAAAACATGATCAAGACCAATAAGTTATCCAAGTAGGAAAAAAGATAGCTTCCTACTTCACATCATATCAAAAATGAATTGGAAAAAAAAATGAAAGATCCAAATGTAAAAAGTAAATAGTCAAAACATTTGGAGGGGCGCCTGGGTGACTCAGTCAGTTAAATGTCAACTCTTGATTTCAGTTCAGGTCATGATCTCACAGTAGTAAGTTGAGCCCACAGCAGGCTCCTTGCTAGGTATGGAGCCTGCTTAAGATTCTCTCTCTCCCTCTGCCCCTCTCCCACTCACGGGCATTCTCATTCTCTCCCTCCCTCTCTCTCACTTTCTCTCTGCCTCTCTCAATAAATAAATAATGAATAAGCAAATAATCAATCATTGGGTTAAAAATAGAGAAGATAATTAATGACTTCCAGGAAGGAACAGATCCATTTAGTAGGACAGAAAAAAGCACAAACCATAAAGGAAAAGATAAATAAATTTGACATTAAATTTTTAAAACTTCTGTTCAAAAAAAG